TATAAAGTCGCCTTATTATTTCTCATACCATCTCTCCATCACTTCACACAACACATAATAACAACCAAAGAAACTGTTTTCAAACATGCACTATTCATATCAATGTTCTGCTCTAATTCTCGCTCTTCTCTGCCTTTCCAAATTCAACAATTTTTTCCAAAGTTTTTCATCAAAACGCTTTCCACCGAAACTCATTATCAACGGCCTCAATAACGTTATCCATACGAACAGATCCGATTGGGACAGTGTTGGGTCTTCGTCAGCTCTCGCTGAAAACAACAATGCTTCTACGGAGAAAGGAGAGAACTGCTATATAATGAAGTGACTAATTGATACGCAAACGCGTGTAATTTTGGTGGATATATTCGAGATTCACCACCCTAGTGATACGAAAAATATATTTCACGACTGCTGCAAAGCGACAATATCGCATTTTTCACAGAGTATTACGCCACTTCACGTAAAACGGATGAAACGCCATTATAGTGAACAAGTTGTCGCTATCATCACCGTCCCAAACGGGTACTTTCATCACAACACATGTTCATAGTCATTGTTACATTGGAGTTTCACGACTACCCGTTTTATGTAAAGTGGCGTCGTAATACTCTGTGAAAAACACAATATTCACAAGTAGTCGTAAAATATGTTTTTCACTAGTATTTTTCATATCACTCCATAATATATGCGATATAGTTTCCGATCGATTCTCATTAATCTCCGAAAAAAACCCATTTGCATATCAAATTGACACGCACTGTAGTTGACCATTTCTGCATATTTCGCCTTCACCCTCACACACCGTCTCTCCAAGACTCCGCAATAACATCATCACCCATTTCAGCTGAGATATCAATTTGATCTGATGATGCTGATATTATAGCCATATACGCCCTGAGAGCTCCCAGTCCATCTGAACCAAAAACCAACCTAATCCGTATCTTTCCTCCCGGGCACGCTTCGTATCTTTAAAAGTAAAACCCGCGAAAATTTGGCACGCGCCACAAAATTCTCAACAGTTAACATAATCAATGCCTTACTTTTAATTTTCCTATCCGTGTCGTGATAATCCTCCTCCCCTTCTTTCTCCAGTGGCAAATGCACAGCACAAGTTCCTGATGCCCCCTCCTTTCCAAGAATCTGCAAAATAAGGAGCGTATTTTTTTCTTAGGAAATTCAAAAAACCTGTGTTTCTCGTTAACGAATAAGAGTTTTGTGCTGAAGCTTCAACAGGCTATAGTTATTATCATGTTGAGTCGAAACGGTCATGTTCGGAACGGTTACTGATATATCACCGCGAGCGAAATAATCACACCCGCAAACCGTGCGAACCACTGAGTTTTCTCGTCTCTTATAAATATAAGAGTTTCACTCGTTTTTCCTCATAAGAAGCCCGTGTGTTGGTAATATAAATTTCCTTCACAATGAAAATCAGATTTAGAAATTCTCACCAGAGACACTCCCGTGAAGTTCAACAGTTGTTTTCCGTACATATTCCAAAAACGCGAAAACGAAATCATTTTGAAAATAATCACAAAATATTTTTTCACAAACTACTCAAAGTGATTAAATCACATCAACAGATCCTTCTAATAGGAAAACCGTTTAAGAAAATAATTTTCACCAAAAAAATCGATGAAATAATTTCACCCTAGTGATATGAAAAACACTAGTGAAAAGTATATTTCACGATTACTGCATATCACCGAGTATTACGACGCCACTTCACGTAAAACGGGTCGTGAAACCGCAATATACATGAAGTATACGCTTCGCTCCGCTCAAGGGAATTTCTAGCTCTACGAAGGGCGAGGTTGGAGTGCACTTGGTTTGTTATGAAAGTAAATCGTGGAACTTCCACACTTTCATCCAATTCGTGGGGAAAAAGGTTCGAAAATGTGAATTTTTCACGCACGATTATATCCACGTAGTCTAAAAATATTAATAATTTCTCCATCATAAATTCACTCACTGATCGCGACACAGATAATGTCAACACGTTAGCCTCTGTCGGCAACTCGATCGGTGTCGGGCCGAATTCCACACAAACCTTCTGATCGCGAACCTAATTTAACAACATGAACCCATCCTCCTCCTCCTACCCCCCAAACTCACCAACGACTGCAAGGCCCTCAAATTCGCCACATTCGCGCGACCGCTGTCCAAACGGGTTTCGTCCAATACGACGTAACTACGTCTCGGCACTTGTAGTAAACCAGAATCTGTTGGAGTATATGTTTGCTCTCCTCAACTGAGCTCAGGCCGTTACACACGACTTTAGTGTAAAAGTTTACACATTTATATGATAAATTTCAATGGAGTTTCACCACCCTAGTGATACGAAAAACACTAGTGAAAAACATATTTCACGACTACTGCATATCACCGCGAATATC